ACAGTTTTAGACTTGGAAGACATGTTTAAAAGATTTAAATCAAGTATCTATAGAGATAAAACTGCAATGCCTGTGATAAATATGCTGGAAAAGAATAACAGTAGTCTAGACACCAAAAATGGGAAAAATTAGATAACTGTAATAAAAACTCTCCAAAATGAAATAGAGAGGGAGAACAGATAGATGGACAGATCCATTAACCATGGGACAACACTGAGAAGTCCATACACATGTTAACTAGAGACCCTGAAGGACAGGAGATGGGTAAACAGGAAAAGGATATGAAGAAATGATGGTCAAAGATTTTCCAAATTTGATGGAAACTATAAACTCACAGATTCAAGAATTTTAGTAAACTTTAGGCACAGGAATAAAAAAGAAAACTGTAGCCGGGCATGGTGGTGCACGCCTGTAGTCCCAGCACTTGGGAGGCAGAGGCAGGCAGATCTCTGTGAGTTCAAGGCCATCCTACATAGTGAGTTCTAGGCAGGGAGACCTTGTCTCAAAAAGACCAAAAAAAAAAAAAGAAAAGAAAGAAAGAAAGAAAACTGTATCAAGGCACAATGTAATCAAATTGCCTAAAATTTATAACTAAATATTTAAAATTATGAACTTAACTTGCAAAAGAAAGGAACAGCCAAATTTTTACTGCTAACCTGTCAAGAGGTAAAACATGTTTACTATGAAGTGATACCTCAAATTAATTCAACTTTTCAACTATAAATAACTTACGTAGCTAGTGAATGAAGAGCTGGGAAGACTGTTCACATGAATTACTTTATCAACCCACATCACTGGAACACGGACCCAATATTCCCATTTTCAGATGGAAACCATGCAGAGATGGTTTCTGTGAGCACAGCTGGCTAATGAGATAAAGCTGAATCTAGTCTTTCAGACTCCAAAGTCCTCTTTGCTACACTATGCTAACATCTGATGGGGTAGCCACCAAGCATGAGAAACAGCCTATTTGCTAGAAAGACAGAGATCAGCACTTGTGCCCATTTAAGACAAGCAAACATATACTTCTGACATCAGGACAAGGAAGGCTCTGCTCCCAGAGAGGGACTCTGTGCAGGGAAATTTCTTTTGCTCTGCTGTACCCAGCTTTTTCCTAAGGTGTGGAACCTCAAGGCTGGCTATGATCTGAGTTACAGTTAAAACGGAGGAGAAACCTGGTTAAGGACAGCTACAAAAACCCTACAGCTAAAGTCACATCCACAGTGAAAGGCTCAATGCTTTGTTCCTAAGAGGAAGCTGTTCATTCTCCCCACCTTTATTCAGCATTATAGAGGTTCAGGCCGGTGCAGTAGGAGAAAAAGAAGATGCATAAATATTGAAAAAGAAAACATAAATCTCTATTTGCAATGACATGTTCCTATACTTAGGAAACTATAAAAAAACATACAAAAAAGCTACAATAAGTAAACAGTAAAATTCTAGGACACAAGGTCAGTATACAAAAACCAACTATATTTGTATATAATTGCAATGAACAATTAGAAAGTATCTTTAATATCAATTTATAATTGCATAAAAATACTGAAGAATAAATTCAAGCCCCTTATGTAACAAACAGTAGGAAGACAAAAACCTAAATATGAATAAAGAGGTGTGCTACATCTCTAGATGGGAAAACTAATAGTGTTTTGTTTTGAAAACTAATAGTGTTAAGGTACACTCTTCATAAATGTAATTTCTTACTATGTGCAAAATATGGATCCACAAATTTACAGACAAGTATCCCAGTCACCACCCATCAAAGTAGCTTCTTTTTCAACAGAG